GATCTTCTTTTATTTTTTATGAGGTTGTGTTGGCGGCAGTTCGACGGCCAGTCCCAACATGTAGACGTGTCTACAAAGGGCGAAGAAGAACATCAGATGTAGTTGGAGTGTTCATAATAAATATTGTGGAACCATATTCCATCTGGTGGTTCTTTTCCGCCCACTTGACTCCTACATTTTGGAAGAAACTCACAAAGGCTGTATGAGATTTGAAAGATTTGAGGTTGGTTTCGTTCTATTGTTGTTTTGTCTGTTGTTTCTTTGTTGGTCCGAATCCCTCAACTGAGAAAATTCATTGCTTGCAGAGTTGTGAAGGCCACTGCTGGATTTGGGAGATAGTTTATGTACCTCTGGTTCTATCACAATTTTGATGGTATCATTTTATTTCCTTCCAGTTTCAAATGTTCATTTGAGAACACATGTATATGCGAAATATTCTTTTTGAGGCTTGCGCATATAATGTGATTGCTGTCATACGCTTTCTTGAGGGGTACTAGAGTAGATGATATAGTAATTCTGGAATGTATTCCTGCTATGTAGGAGTGCTTCATTCATAGGAATGCCCCCATTACTATTTAGCTTCAATATGTACCATTGGAACTACGGTATCCTTTATTCCTGAACCCTTCAAGAAAGTGTATGATAGTAATATGTGGTCTGCGGAAGTATTTCAACCTGGACCATATAATTTAACAAATTTTCATTTTTTATATGTTGCTTTATGAATTATCATTTGTTTGATTTGTCGATTTTGTTTCATTATGGGTGCACGTCGTTGCCATGGGGAGTGTGAAAGGAAGGATGGAGTCTTACATGCGAGAAGAACATTATCCAGATGAGTACCCAAAGTAGGATTTGTATGCATTGTTGTGGTCCCAAGCTTCCATCGGACTTTGTTTCCTGTATTGTGAATGACGCTATTTTTGGTGTGTCTATGCAGGAGTTAAACCCCTGAAGAATTATGTCAAGTGAGGCCAAAAGGAGGAATCGCTATTCTCTATGGGGTCAGACTAGTGAAAGAGAAAGAAATCGGCCCGATGTGGTAGAGTCAGTTGTAAAATGGTGATCGAGATACTGAAACAGGCAAAAAATTGAGATACTAAAACAATGGAAAATATGCAGAACTGAACTGGGGGTCATTTGTTCGGATATGTTGAAGGAGGATTTGTATGCTTTGTTGTGGTCCCAAGCTCATTTGTATGTGTTTCCGGTGGCTTTTGTTGTCTGCGAATTCCAGGTTGTTTTTTTATGGTTCTTCGAGTTCATCTGTACCCCTGTGTATTTTTCTTCTGGTCGGGTTTAGGGTTCCCCATTCTCATGAGCAATTAGGATTTGGGGTTGGAATTGGCCTGGGTCTATGCGATTAGGGTTTGTACCTAACGAATGGATAAGTAACTTGGTTGCTTTGTACTCCTTGATGTTTGATTGTTTTAACCTCACCACTTTGGCATTATATATATATATATATATATGAATCCATACCACAATTGTTCTGTTTATCTGTATGCTTAGGTTGATAAATTCTGTTGAACCTAAGGCCTTAATCCATATCTAATGGTGGGTCGCTAAATCATTTTGACGCATGTGGACGCATAGCACATTTCAAAAGCAATTTGTGCAGCATATATATCAACTATCATGCACCAAAAGAAGTTAGTTTCGTCTTAACCTTGCTATTTGCTTAATTAGTCATGCCTTTTTTATTACCACGGGCATTGAAGCACTATTCAAGCTTTTGCTCTGAATTGTATGCGTCAAGACCGGACTGTTAGGATTGAGATAGCAGAGAGAAGATGGAAGAGATTATAAAAATTTCCTCTCCTTTTCATACCTAAAATAAAATTAAGAAAGTTGTTAGGATTGAGATAGTAGAGAGAAGATGGAAGTGATTATAAAAATTTCCTCTCATTTTCATACATAAAATAAAATTAACAAAGTTGTTAGGATTGAGATAGCAGAGAGAAGATGGAAGAGATTATAAAAATTCAAAAAGCATGAAATTGATGAGTATTTGGAAATATCATTGAGCTCCACTTTTTCCCTTTGACGAAATTGGAGGTTTCTTTCGTTGATAATCATAATATTATTAAGAAAATTATTGATAATCTTTATGTAGAATCACACCCCCTCAATTTGGAATCCCTTAATATGGTTGATGATTCTCAATTATGCGATAATTGAGATCAAGCAAAATCAATCAGGAGTTAAATGTGATGGGCCACTATTGAGCATGCATCCTTATTTAGAAAATGAGTAATCGAAAAATTGTTAGTGAACAAACCTATATTAAGTCGAGAATTATTGGTGTCTTTAAAAAGTATATTGGTAAAAAAATATTCATCAAGGTGCAAGGAAAATTAGCCAAAATTATCTTAGTTAATAATTTTTCGACTTGAGAAAAACTTCAAAACATGGCCTAGATTGTGGTGAAAGAAACTTTTGCCTAATGAGTGAGGTTAGAGTATAAAACCATCGGGAGATCAAGAGTAGGAGTATTTCACCCCATCAAATGAAAGTCACTCAATTTTGAAAGTTGTATTTCGATATCGTTTACAAATTTGAACTATAATCTCGGACGAGGTACTTAACTTATTTTACGATTTACTACTCATGAAAATTTTATGATGAATCCGGCCAACGGGCCGAATATAAAGCTAGTTAAATATAAGAAGAGCAAGTAGCATGCCGAAAGAAAATCAGAATGGTTCTCCTGTGTCAAATTTGGCATTTTAGTGGGGCCACCACCTTTTGTCCAGCCAAATTTGGCATTTCAGTCAGCCCAATAGAAAGCTACTAAATTTAGCTCCTTAAACATGGAGCCACCAAAAAAACAACAGACCCAAAAAGAAAAGAAACAAGGAAAAAAAAACACCACCAAACCCCACCAAACCAAACGAAAAGAAACACCACCAAACCCCACCACACAAAAACCCTAAGCCCACAGAAAAACACAACGTCACCACACACACATCATGTCGCCGTCCACCACCGCAACGCCCACAGAAACCACCGCCACCCGTTCCAAGCACAACACACCTAAAAACCAAACACGGAGAACAGAAACCACCGCCACCACATGCAAGAATAAAAGCTAGTAGTGTTTTTAGAATTGAGAGCATAAAATTCAGACCTCTGAAGGAACAACCCATTTGCCGTTTAACCAGTCCTGATGTGGCCTCAAATCAGCCTGCTTGAACGTTATCTTCTCATCATACTCTATAAAGTAAACCTGGTAATTGCAGTTGGTCAAAACCTTTGCAATCACACCAACCCACCAGCCCTCGTTGTAGTAAGCATCTACTTCATCCATCACCTTGAATCCATCCACAACAATGATCTCCGGCGGACAAGGCCTTATGTTGCAAGCACGAATGTCTTCTCTGAGAAACTCAGTATCATCATCATTCGTCAGGGTTTTGTACTCAATAAGGTACTTGTCTTCACCCGAAGGTTCAATAATTGTTGCAGCAAACCAAGCACCTTTTAAACCGTCTTCGTCAGTTTGCACCTCCACTTGCATTCCTTGAGTGAACTTCATCACTTCCTTGGGACAATTTGAGTCTAGCGACATCTGCATGTTTATGAAGCGATTCAACGAGGTTGAGACATTGTGAAAAAGAACAAATGCCATCTCTGATCACCCGATTCTCTACTTTCCTCAGCCTAACTAGATCCAGATTCAAAATTCCCTAAAATTGTCATACCAAGCAACGGAGCAGGAAAAGTCATAAAATCGAATTAGCTCACCTCTTTCTCCCGCTGAACATGTTTGAATCGCGGCTCCCACTTCCCTTTAACCCACTGAACAGGCAACCTCAAATCTTTCTCTCCAAACACAATCTGGTCCTTTGAGCCTCTGAAGAACACCGCGAATTTCCCGCTGGAGTGCTCTGCAGTAATAGCCCCTTCCCACCAGCCGTCGCTGTGGAAGGCCTCCACTTCGTCGCCTAACTTGAACTGGACCTTCTTCTTCTTCTCGGGAGGCGGCGACGGCGGACGCAATTGGATCCAATCGAGGGTTTCTTGCAGCAGCTTTGTTAGAAACAAAGTTTCTAACGGGTTTGATAATTGGGATTTAGGGATTTGAAGAATAGAATTAGGGATTAAGAAGTAGAATTTGGGGAAGAACGAGAAAGAATGGCCGGCGGCCGGATTAGGGATAGAGGAGAAATTGAGAGGATTTAGGAGAGAATAGGGTTTAGGGATTTTCTTATTATTCTTCTTATTGATCCCGAATGAATAAGTAAGGTACATATTTATAGGGAATTCTAGAAAACCCTAATAATAAACCTAATTCTATTAAATGACTACTAACCTTAATAAGACTTTCCCTAATAATAATTAAAATAATAAATATAGAATCCCTAGATAAATCGGTTTCTAACATCTCCTCCCCCTTCAGACCAACCTTGCTCTCAAGGTTGATCGACTCGACCCATTTCTTCTCATCTCCCGCGCAATCCGCGTTTTGTCTTCTCCACTCCTTGCACTTTCTTTTCTTCCAATCACGCTCTAACTCGTCACTTAGACTTCTTGCACCGACATGCTTGTATTGATCCCACTCTTCCAATTTCACTTCTATGAACCCACGATTTTCTTCCTTGTCGGAGAAGCCGTCTTTAAGCACCAATCCTTCAAGGCCTTCAAAATGTATTCCATGAGCTAGCCCAATACCTTGCTTTGTTGCTTCTTCTATTAATTTTGGGCTTTGCTCTCTTGAAAGTCCACCCAATAAACTGTCAAACCCTTCTTTCAAGCCCATGTTCTCCAAAACACAGACCAAGCTGGGCTCGAACCCCTCTTGATTCGACCCAACCACATATAATATAATCCTTGGGAGATTGTAATTGGGCGGCCCATTGGTTGGGCAAGGCAAAGTCCATCTCGGCTCCATTTTCCAATCTTCCTCGGCCCACTGAAATCCAAGCTCCAGCCCGCACTCAAACCTTGTCTTACCCTTCAGCCCACACGCTCCTCTCCCAACCCAATTTTTTTCTTGAATGCGGCCAAAAATTGGCTCACCGTGCTGTTTCTCTCGGCCCGAAACAAGCCCAGCAACCACCTTCTTCTTTGCGAGCCCGCCTCCCAGTCCAACTCGGCCCGCTCCCTTTGACATCACGGCCCGATTAGTCTCGCAACCCATCGGGACTGGCTGCTGGTTGGCTCGGCCTAGGGTTAGCAACCCCAGGCTTGCGAGAAGAGGGAACCCGCCGCCCTCGTCGTCCTCCATCTTTGGCCGCGACGCACGCAGAGGCTCACCGCCTCCGTCTCTCTTCTCCAGCAACTCATCCCGCGACGGCGATGGCTCGCTCACTTCTGGGGCCGTCGTCCCTCTCACGGCAGGAGTCGCTGCTCGAGATCCCTTCTCCTTTCCCGTCGTCGGCAGCGAGAAATCCTCCCGGCGTGTGGTTGGCGGCTCCCATGCCGCCGAGTTCTTTCTTCGGACGGTGATTGCATCACCTGAGGCAGTCCTCGATCGTTGGTCCGGATGGTCAAGATGGAAACCCGATGCTGCCTCGGCCTCGCTTTGTCAATAGGGTTTAGGAGAGAATAGGGTTTAGGGATTTTCTTATTATTCTTCTTATTGATCCCGAATGAATAAGTAAGGTACATATTTATAGGGAATTCTAGAAAACCCTAATAATAAACCTAATTCTATTAAATGACTACTAACCTTAATAAGACTTTCCCTAATAATAATTAAAATAATAAATATAGAATCCCTAGATAAATCGGTTTCTAACAAGCTTCTCCCCAGATTCGTCCTCGTAGAGCTGGTCGTACTCGACTACGTAACGATTAGGGTTCTTCGCCTCGCGGCGGATGACGGTGCCGGCGAACCAGGAGCCGCGGAACCCGGGGTCGTCGGAGCTGACCTCGACCCGGTCGCCCGGTTTGAATTGGGCGATCCACGATGAAGATGGGTTCGACTTCGACATTTGCAGAATTGCGGGTGAAGACACGGATGGAAGCGGGGGGATTTTGAGAATTTTGGCGGATATGAGAATATGCTCTACCTGTTCTTATACCCCAAAAAGAAAGGGAATGGGAAAAGAGTGGGAAAAGACTCTGTTCTACTAAACTTCTCAGCGAAGGATTGCCATACCCGATAATCTTCCTTGGTTCCCTCGCTACTTTATTGAGCCACCTCCAGTCTCCTCAAGTGGGATACCCCATCAACTGAATCTGAATGGTACATGAATCCTCCCACTCACATGGCCTCAGATACACAAAGATACCGATGAACCCAACATAAATCACAAGGGTTGCGTATGAGTACAGTTTACCCAACATTTTTCCAAATTGTGTTGCAAAAAATAATCATTTTAATATATAATTAATAAAATAATATATTAAAGAATTAAAAAGAGATGAACCCAATTTTCAACTCAACCGTGTAAAAACATTGGGAAGGAGAAGATATGCCATGATTTTAGTTGCACCAAATTTTATCTCTTATTTACTTAACAAATTAATAAGTTTCCTTCTCAAATTAAAACTCTAGCACATCCCTTTATATTCTACTAATAGTCTAATACACATCCCTTCCCTTTTCTACGCCACTAAGACCACCTTCAGTGGTGTTTTATTAGAATTCCAAAAAAATGGCCACATTCACTTTTAGTAGGGTTCCTGGATTCCAAACGGTCCATTTAATGCAATTATTGGTTCCAAAAATGGAACACAAGTGGACAAAAGTTCCAAATAACGGGGACCAACAGGGGATCTGGGAAAAATGCATTGGGGGAATGGATTCTGCCATTTTTCCACCTGTTGGAGAATTAGAAAAAGAAAAATTTGCTCATTTAGTACCAATATTCACCCCCAACGGTTCTTTGAACCCAAACAGCTCTTTTTTTTCAAAATTTTCTTATAAATAGTTAAATACACTTCAATACGTCATATTTACAAATAATATTTTTTGTCGGAATTCAAAAAAAATTGTCGACATGTTCGTCTTTATTAACTATTACTACCTATATAAAATAATTGAACAAATTTTGTAATTAAAATGATGAAATATACACAAAACTAGATTATGAGTTAAAATGCATATCTGGAAATGTAAACATTTGGAACTCATTACTAATGCCAAAACACCTTTTGATGTGCTAGATTTTGAATTATAGCCCCAAAATCTGGACTTTTGGATTCAACCACTAAAGATGGTCTAAGGCAGAAAGTACCAATCAATATAAAAAACTCTTTTCATTCTAGTTATACCACTATTGTCGTAGACTCGTAGTTGCTTCCTTCAGGGTTCAAGGTTTAGGGTTTAGGGTTCAGGGTTCAGGGTTCATGGTTCAGGGTTTATGGTTTAGGGTTCAGGGTTTAGGGTTTATGGTTTAGGGTTCAGGGTTTAGGGTTTTGGAGTATGGTGCTTAACCCGTTAATTTCTAGCTTCTTGAATATTTATACATACGATCAGATTGATTCAATACTTACACCCTTATTTTTGTATTTTGACAGCAATGCCCACCGTCCTTACGCCATATACAAAAAAGAGCAACAAAAAGACAGTCGAATAACTATGAGTTAGATGAGACACACTCGCAATCTGAATCTCCTTAATGATGAATACGATATCGGATTAGACCCAAGTTGAAAAAATTTGAAACTATGCTAAAAGGATAATTTTTTGTAAATCAATTCTGCGGCCAAGCATGTAATTATTTGTGACAACTAGACATCGAAAAGTGAAAGTGTCAGAAATATTACCACAATTGACATTGTAGGTGACAACTATACATCATTTATTTGGAGGTAAGCAAATAGAAATCGCCATCCACATGGGTTTAGCTTTAAGAAACCATTCCATGGATGTAATTTGGTTTGATGGGGTTATTTTGGAGGGGAGAGCACCCAAACCCAATGTTTTAACAGTAGTAGATACCAACACCATTAACTTACACATATATATATGATTTTATCATTATTCTCCTTGTGATTACCTAAAAATGGTTTGTGACGGTTGTGTGATGTTGGTTGAATATTGGGTCTATCAGTTATATACGAAATTAATTTCATATTTTAATATTGAAACTATGATAATTGTTATTTGTGGTGAATTGAAAAAAGTAATAACCATCCATTCTTTAATTTTTCATTACAAAAATGTGTAAAAAAAAGTGTACATAAAGGTAGCGGCAAAATGCAACGTAAAAAGAAAATTATAAATTGTTAAAATTTGGCTTTTACCTTCTCAGAATAGTGCTTTTTTTCGGCCAAAAATTTGCGTGTCTTTTGAATTCGTCCCCCAGAAACGTTTCCTTCATTCTGACCCCCCATTCTCATTCTATCTTGCATGTCGTCAATCTGAGAGAGAGAGAGAGAGAGAGAGAGGCGATGGCGGTTCCGCGTTTCTGCCGACGAGTAGAGAGAAAGAGAGAGTTGACGATTCCAATCATTCCATCGACTGGCGACGGCGGTTCCGCGTTGCTGCCGATGAGTAGAGAGAAAGAGAGAGAGAGAGAGAGAGAGAGTCGACGATTCCATCGATTGGAGACAGCTGGAAGATAAAGAGTTAGTGAAATCTCGCTTTTCCTTCTCCTTTTCCTTCCCCGAATTTTTGGTTTTCGTTTTCATTTCTTTGATTTCCTCTTTGTTTGGCACGAGATGCATACAAAACAAATCTGGATTAGTAAGAGCGGCAGCTACGGTCTCATTCCCTCGGATTAAAAAGGCCCCCTAAGGAACGATTGCAGGTAGTTGCTATGCAAGTTTTCATTTCGTTTATTTGAGTTCCTATAAAAATCAGAACATGACTGGACACTCCCCAATTACCGAGTCCAAACTTTGGGTTTCTGAACTCGTTTCTTTTATTTCGTTTTGTTTTCATGCTGATTTGAGGCTTGCGAATCGGGGGAGGAGGAGGAACTTGAAGGAACTTGGAGGAGTTAAGGAGCTTCGAGAAGGCCATGAATGGGAGCAGCACAAGCAGGGTACTGGGCATCGAAAACAGGTATCTAAGCCTCGAGTGTTTGTTGACAGATCTGGCCTTTGTTGATAGATGGGTTCTAAACAGAACATAAAAATAATATAAATAGAACATAAAAGTCATTTAAATAGATCAGAGCTACTTCGTTCAGTTCTCGCGGCAGATTTTTTCCGAGTTCAATTTAACTGCAACTTTTTCCGAGTTCAATTGAAATTGTCGACCCTGTTTCTTGCATGGTTGTTTAAAGTTATAGACGTGGAACTTATGTTACACTTCCCTTTATGTTCCTTGATCTACACAAGTATCCTTAGTAGGATTTCGACTTTGTGTGCTTATGTCATGATCGCTATTCCCGTCTTGCAGACGTGGAGATTGTAACCTCATTGCGAGATGGAATGAATCTCGTTACTTATGAGTTTGTAGCATGCCAATATTCAAAGAGAGGTGATCTTATTCTCAGCGAGGTACTTAGATATTAGTCAGCCGATTTCAATTCATTTTCATAGAACTCAAATTATATTTTAGAATGCGTTGATTCTCTATGATGAGTTCACGAATTCTATTTTGACCGAAGATCATACTTCAGAAAGTATGTGTTCCTCCTTTGACATGCAATTACTGTATCGATAATCGCATACGTGAGATTCTGACTCTGACCATCTTAAATTGCTGTATTTTTTTCTGGACAGTGAGCTCAATGATACAGTGGTTGAGGCACAACTAAGGACGAGGCAAGTCCCACCTGGGCTTCCACAGGGAGATGCGATTGAATGTTATCTCAACTCCCACAATCGATTGCTCATACTGGTATGCTTTCAACCCTTAAGCCATTGTCTTTGTGCCCCAGTTTGTCCATTTCAAAAACATCGCCTCGAGAAAAGGACTAGAATTGTTTCTAAAATACTTACAGAACTGAACATATCCTAGATTGAAGAATGCACCATTTTTCTTTCGTGGGACCGACTTCTCTGGAGTGCATTTTCAAATGCTTACAACCCTAGTGTATTTTTTTTAATGAAAACTACCATCGTGTATTTGAGTTGCATCATTCTAATGCATTTGAGATTACAGTGCCTAATACACTCAAACAAATCAAAAGTGTCAACGAAAAATGATATATTTGTTCAATTCTATTGATAGTATATCTCTTCGTAATGCAGTTGAGGCCTCAAGGTAATCTGAAGTGGACAAATTGATAAAGCACTTCAGACTGGAGATAAATTACGCATTTCCAATGTCACTGTTACAAATTTAGGCGGCTATACTGGTTAGACACATGAATGGGTTTCCATATATTTGGCTTCAACATCCGATTCAAAGATCTACCTGTTCTTATGCTGACAGTTTATGGAGGAGCAACCCGTGAGGCATTAGCTAGCCAGGTCTGCTTCACACAAAAAAGAAAAAAGAAAAAAAACAAAACAAAGAAGAAAATCCAGGTATGTCCTTTCAATTGCAAACAGTTCATGTCCCGCAATGTACCCTTCGTCCAACAAAAATATGAAGTGTCGATGGAGTTTACTTTTGTGAAATATACCAAGATAAAAGATTTTGTCCCCTAAAATCAATAATGAAATTGTAAACTCAATAAAAAGTGGTCATTGCTTTCCATGGGCGTTTCAACTTCTTGCTATGGAAGTGCTAGTGAACTTCATTTGTTTTTCTTGATGCTTCTGTTCTTTGCACCACGGGTTCTAGTCTGATGTTGTTTCTGTAGCAGACCAAAATAAGAAAAAATAATACTAAAGATGTAACTTCCAACACAAAGAACCATCTAATCTTGCTGGTTAAATCATTAGTGTGATTGGAAAAGTACCAGTTCATGTTCATCGCCTGGACGATCATCATGCCGACTAGTACTCACAGCACTATGTCCTGTATGCTTCTTAGCTCCCTTCTCTGCTCCCTTATCTTGTTGACTAGTATTGCTCCTAGTACGTGCCCTGATCTGTTAGAGGGCAAATAAACTCTTAAGCTAATAGCCATTTCTAACAAATCGATAATTTAGTGAATAAACAAATGATATATAACCTTCTGTTGTGGCTGACTTTTTCCAATGGGCTCTCCAGTAGTATTATGCCTGCTCGTTTGTTGCTTCTGGTAAAAACAAAATAACATTTGTAGTTTATTAACTCTAATAACTATATCAAGAACACCTAACTAGAGATGCTAATTACCTTTTGGGGCTGACCACCTTGGTCATCATCTCCATCATCGTCGTCTCCATCTTCTCCGTCGTCCCCATCATCGTCCATGTCATCGTCGTCATCCTCCTCATCAGATTGAGATTCTACCACGTCGGCTGGGGGGTTAGTACAAGTGCTCCTATAATGCCCATCCCTTAGCCCGCAGTTCCCACACTTTCTTCTTTTTTTCTTAAGTGGTTTTTTCCTTTTTCCTTTCCTACAACCCTTAAACCTCACTTGATTTGGGTTCAATACATCTTTGAACTTGTCTGGTATGACAATCCTTTCTCTCTCGGCGGGGGTTTTCTTTACCATCTCCAACTTGTTACACGCTGCTGTCAACTCATCTTGAGCCATTCGATAAGAGAGAGGAGTGTCTGCTCCTAATAAGCAGAATCGTTGAGCCATGAACTGTAGCGACCCGTACCTAATGCTGAAACTGCTGTCATCCCCCAATGTACTTGGTTCTGGCAGAGTGTGTAGGGACTTTGGGTTCTTCGAGCAACGTCTGAGTACCAGTTTTTCAGGAATAGTCTTCACTTTTTCTTCTTTGAGAACAAATAGCATATGAATGCAGGGTATCCCAATACTCTTAAACTTTTGACAACTGCATTCCATATCGCTTGTTTCAATGTTGTATTTCACCTCTATGACCTTCTCTTTGTTGAACATGGTAACAGTGTAAGTGTGTAGGTTCCCCTCTTCAGTTTGGTTACCCTTAATGACTCCAATAACCTCCTCCAACTCATTTTTGAACAAAAGAAATGCAGCCTTTGAGAAAAGCTTTGCTGCACTTTGCTCGAGGGGCTTTAGGATTGAATTCTTTATAGGAACTACACCATAATTAGACTCAAAATCTAATCTAATCTCTGTCTCTCTCATGTCTCTGAGCCATCGGTCGTATTGAGTGAAAAAGTCAAGCAAACAGAACCTCTCATTTTCATACCTTGCAACAACCGCATTTATGCTTTCACATCTTGATGTGGTTGTCAACCCAGCAAAGAAATGTGAGCGCAAGTATGTGTCCGCCCATTCGTTGCGTCTCCCAAATAGTTTTTTCGACACCCATTGGTTGTTCTGGAGTTCGCATTCCTCTACCAATGCATTCCATTTCTCCTCAAATTCTTCTGGCTCATACTCAGCAGTTACTAACTTCTTCCACCGGGGTTCAAAGTCGGGTCGATTCTTCACCCTGCCAGTGATATTCTTGGACAAATGCCATGCACATAGCCGATGTGTTGCATTTGGAAACACATTAGCAATAGCTTTCCTCATTGCTTTATCCCCATCCGTGACAACTGTACGTAGCGGAATGTCCCCCAACATTTCCTTCACTATCTTCAAAGCCCAAATATAGGTTTCGTCAGTCTCATTGGGCAACAATGCACTCCCGAATAAGCAAGTTTTGAAATGATGGTTGATACCTACAATGTCAAACAGAAACTCGGAAAAATCAGAATCTTTTGAACTAGCAGGAGAAAAGCTAAAACTGTGAGGAATATGTAAACAATGGTAGAGTTCATATAATCAGAAACTTGTTGTTTTCTAGATGCCATTATGTGTATTCAAACAACAAAGCAAAGGATAATACTTAGAGGGCATACTAGGATGGCGTACCTGTAAAAATGACCAGTGGCATATTGTAAATGTTTTTTTGGTACGTTGTGTCAAATGCGAGCAACTCTCCAAAACACGAAATGTCGGCTCTGCAAATGCTGTCAGCCCAAAATAAAAAAATGGAGCCTTTTTTCCTCATCAGTAGTGTATCGGAGGAGGAAGTGTGGGTCTGTGCTTTTCTTTGATTCTAGATAGGCCAGTGCAGTTGCTGCATCACCCTCGCTGATTCTCTCAGCGCGGTCTTTGGTGCTGAATTTTAACCCATCTTTAACTGTATACCCAAGTTTGTCATGCCCTCCAACACAATGCACAGCAAGCTTAATGGCCTGAGAAGGTTTCATTCCGGCATCCTTTTTAAATCGGAGGTCTGCCTTGTCTGCTTCTGTTAATCCTCGATGCGACCTCAAGTAATGTACCTGATTCTGCCTAACTTGGTCATGAGTGTGCTGTGAGTTTAATATATCAGCCACCCACTTATTGCTTGTCTTGTTCAAGCTCACACGAAACATAGCCATGCACTGAAATCTGATCTCCATAGGCGACTCCCTCTTTTGTGGACCTTTATGTGCTTCTCGAACTCCCTGACAAGAACACACGAAGGCTGCACTTGTTACCTCTCCCTTGACGTTCTTAACCTTCCTTGAGCGACGGACAGAAAACCCCCAACTCTTAGCATAGTTGTTGTAGAACACATATGCATCCTCAAAATGATTGAATTCCTGACCGATAAAAGGAGAATTTTGAATAACGTTTGTGTCATCCTCCTGTACAGTAGGACCATCGCTGTCAGAGGTCATTGTTTCTGGTATGATTTCAACATCGCTGTCTTCATTGTTGTTGATATTATCTCCCTCTTCCTCCATTGGTGTGCCGTCTTTTTGCTGTTTGTGGGGAGGGGCTAAATCGGGCGCAAAGCAGAGGTCTTTTTGCTGTTGTTGTTAACCTAATCCGTTTTTCACGTGTTATTAGTTTTTTCTATTTTTTTCCGTCATGGTGTACAGTTTTTTTTATATTTTAGTACTTTAAATTTTTATTATATTGTTTCCCGTTATGGTTACTAGTTGGATAAAGAATGCAACTAATAAAGAATTCTTGAATTACCGAAAAAAATACTAAAGAATGCTTGCGTGTTATATATGGTAGATTCAACTTCCAAATAGGTGACGCGGATTGTTTCCATGTTAATTATTACCCGTAAAAATATTATTTTCCTTTTCCATGTGGAGGTTAATGAGGAAGATAAAGTTTCCAGTATCCTTATAGCGAAAAACACTCACCCGTTGGCCCTAGTTTAAGAATGCTAACTCCTTTTCTGCATTCACCAGGAGCTCATTCAGGACAGGAGCTCGGTCAGGGGGGCAGAAACCAGAAGCAATATGCAGAACGATAAGGACGGGAGGATGATGACAAAACGCAAGACCAGAAGTTCTTCCAAATTAATGGTTCGTCAATTTGCATTCTTGTTTTCCCGTTTTCTCCATCGTTGGCAGATTATGCTTCCAAACTAAATAAGGCATTGTGTTTTTATTACGATGAATTCTGATGCTGGAGAAGGATGGATCTCGAGGAAAGAAAGGAAGAACTGAAGATGGTGTGATCCAGATTGATGGTGATTTGCAGGCAGATTGGAATGACTTATTTTGGAAAGGCCGTACCAGATTTTCTTACTTACAATTCGACAAGAAGGTATGATAATCTAGCCCACCAATTTTCCCCACTTAGAACAAAATCAATTGTTTTTATCCTTATGTTTCGTCTTCTATTGTAGGGTGAAACAAAGTTTACACTTCCAACAGTTCTCAAGTACACTAGAGAGGAAGTGAACCTTGCCCACTACATATTTGCGAAGGATCTTCCACAAAAGGAAGTCCTGGTTGAAACCATGATGCAATCCTATACACGAAAGGTGTTGTGGTCCCTCTGCCCTAAGTCTAATGTCGATGATGATGTAATTACAGCCATGGCTTGCCAATTGAGCCTGGAGGAAGTTTGGAGGAATGTTGGGGATGGAAGAGTAGTCTGTTATCTGCCTGCTGAACTACAAGTATAGTCCCATTTACTTTGTATATTTGTTTTAGGTGCAATATTCCGTTTCTCCTATTAAATGTGTTATCTTCTATTTTAAATTAACCATGATCAGGAAATGGTAATCAACTATGGCATGACATCAAAAAAAGCTCTAGAGTGTTATGGTGCAAAGTTCTTGGCAAGAGCTCACACGTGCAGAAAGGTTTCTTCTTAACAATTCCTTTCTTGTTTCATTGAAATATTCCTCAATTACTGTTTCTAGCTACTGTTTGAATTGGATATGCGAATAAATTAGATGTTCCATCAAGCTTTTGATATTTCTATAAATTTTATTTTACAATGCTAAGCTGAGTTAGGTCTTTCTCGTCGTTATTTAGGTGTGTCTGCCAATGAAAGATGCAATGGACGGTGATGCAGTTCACTGGTATTTAGCTGTCATTATGCTGGACGACAAACAAGTCCATCTATTGGATTCGTATCCTTCTAAAAAGCGCCAAAGATCTCGTAGAAACGCAGTAGTAACTATGGTATGGTTTGACCTCCTGATCCTAATATAGTTATATCTCTAAATTGATTTGTGTATTCATCTATCCCGAATAAAGTGATTACTGCTTGTGTAGATCGAATTTCTTGATGACTTGTTTGAGGATCTTTATCGGCAAGTGGAACCAACGCTTGATCCACCTGTGCTGGAACAATTTTCTTTGACAATTCCTTCAATTCCCGAACAACGTCACGAGTAAGAATTGTTTGTTGTGAACAAATTAGAAACATACTTAGATACCCACCACTCATATGATGCATCTTATTTTATGTAGGTCTGATAGTGGCGTTTGGGTGTGCTCTAGGATGATGGGTGCATCTTGGGATGCTTCTAATAATCTATGGGTAAGCAAGAATTCTCCTACTTGGCCTTGAAGGAAAACAACCTTTCGAAACAGCTACTAAGCCTCATTGTCATTGTCAAACTGTTGCAGCCATGCGGAGATATAAGGAGAATGCAACTAGCTTTGTATCTGGTCCAACACCCTACAAATTACATAAGACATGTCGTCATCGAGGAAGCAAATAGTAATGCATCGAGATTTGTTGCCCAGACTCGTAGGTACAAGGAGGAAAGCCAAAAGAGCGTAATCCAGAACTAGAAGATTCATAGGGAGATGGTGGTTCATTTCTCCTGTAGTAGTATATTCTGGATATTTGGTTGATTAGTTCTCATGCCAGTACTCTAGTTTTGTTTCCCTTTTCATTTTCGTTGAGAACCAAAACAATACCCTTGAATTGTTTGAATTGTCTGCTTGTCTATTTCCCTTTTCATGTTCGTTGAGAACCAAAACAATACACTTGTTATTGGGTTAAAATTTTGTTATTGAAGCTATTTGTTGGATCCAACATATTTATGTTTGCTCCGATGAACGCATAATCTTCGGCGTGCTCCGGTGGCAAGATATGAGATATCCAAAGGCCAAAGCCAAGAATTGGAGCGTTTTTTGGGCCGAAATAAAGATAACAAAAAACCCCACTGACCAGGAGAAAGGTCAATAGTTTCTTGACGCGGAAACGGGTTCAGGTTTTATGAGTTTATCCGGTGTGGACTTAAGAGGGAAGAAAGTTCCAAGATGATGGTCGAGAAGGAAGTAAAGGAAAAAAAATTGGGTGATGAGATTCGAACCCAGAACCTCATTTAACTACAATAGCAATTTTCCGCTGGGAATGGGGGAGAAACGCACGACTAAATTTCCAGGAAACTAGATTTTGTTGTTTTGCAGGAGAAATGAACCACGTTTTTTTTACTCATATTTCTTATTTTTTGTTGTGACAACAAAAAACATAAAATGAAATGGCAAGTGAATGGGGCATAAGGCTCAAGCCTAGGCGCCTTCTTTAAGCCTTATCTCAGGTGAACAAGCATCAGGAACAAAGCCACAAAAACGTGAACCAACATTCGGATTTAAGAAAAAATAAAGGTAAAGACCAAAACCAATCTAAAATGAATTCAATTGGGATCAAAGTGATAGTAAAACCGACCGACTACCAATAAAACAAAAACAACTACTTTTCTAAAATGAATCAAATAAACTCTTTTGGCATTTTGAGCTGATTTTCCCCTTGAAATGTCTTTCATAAACGGCCCTTGCTTCATCAATAATTTGAGAGCGCCTTGTATTTGAGAGATCTTTGACTAAACTTATGGCCAAGGATAGTCGACCTCTATTACTACAAACCTACAACAAATTTATAACATTACTCTTAACATGTTGATTTCGATTTGATAGTGTAGAATCTCACGTGGATGGAATCATATTTAGAAGGAAAGGATTGTATTATACCGCCGTATACGAATTATTATCAGCCTCTCCGTGCAACATCCACTGACAGACGTAAAACCCGCACTCATAGCTACGTGGAAAAATAGCATTTATTATTGAAAATAAGATTGTGAATCGAAATGAAATAATCAAAATACTCAAAGAAATACTAACTCATCAATTTGCTTAGAAACGTATGGAGGACTTATGATTTGGAACTTATGCACTTTGGGCACTTCATAGGTTGATGGCTTGTCTGGAAATTCTTGAAGCATCTTGTAAAAGAATTTCAACTGTAACAACAAACTTAACCACGTAACTATTACAGTACAAAAATATAAAAAAAAGAAATTGACTTACTAAATGTACACGAAGGGAATAGTTTGATCACCCACCATTCCTTGCACCCTTTTCCTACGATTTTCCAGCAAACCCAAATCACAACGCAAAGAGTCCACTACATGCACTACCTTTCGGTCCATGAAAACCACAATAAGAAACCAATGGCGGTTCTCATCATTCATTGGCAAATATATCTGAAATAAATAAACAAGTAAATGATGAAGAAAGAATGAATGGACTATATAGTAAAGGGCAAAACATTAAGAGAATATAGTACCCTGGAAAAATTACTAATATTATTACACCATACCTTGGTGCATTCAAAGGTGCCGCAAAGATATAGGTTCTTATATTTTTCCACGTCTTTTTTTGGAGTCCAACCCATTTTTACAACCAAATCCTGGGTAGCAGTTCACATTCACTATTCAACTTTGGGAGAAAGAAAAAAGTAAACTTACTGTAAAGAGTTTTCCATAATTGTTGCTTACCTCAAAATTGGATGGAAGATACCAAGGTCCCTTTTTCCCCCAAGCCCTAACATCAACAGCTAATTGACAAGCTACAGCAGTCAAAATCTAACATAAGCAAAACCCAAGATTAGTATAGCTAATATGTGGTCAAGTATGTCTTACCAAAACAGAACTACAAAATACTTACATAACCATGAAGCCACGTTTCTGGCAGCAAGTCCTTTAGTTCTAGACGACTTAAACTATGGCCAAAATTCTCAACAAGCCATTTATCATCTTCTAGACCATCACCAAAGATGAAACACGCAATGGAACGATCCTCATCATTATCTAACGCCATTATTGCAGTCACGGGAAATTCCACCTACGATTTGAATTTACCAAAACTTACAATACATAGGTACATCATAAACATTTTAAAATCACACAGGTGTAATTTCTTTAAATAAATTCTATATACCTTCCCCGATACATTTATATATTCCACATCCGCATTTTTTGGCCTCTTGTGTGAATCATCGCCATCTGCGTCTGAGTCGGAATCTATATAAATAAATCCGTTTACGCTAGGTGTGAAAGGAACAACAGTGGGAGCTGAACTTCCAGATGCAGTCACCGGAGATTCCATCTATGATTTGAATTTAACAAAAATTACAATACATAGGTACATCATAAACACTTTAAAATGACACAAGTGCAAATTGTTTAAATAAATTCTATATACCTTCACCGACTCATTTAAATCTTCCTTGACCGCATATTTTTGCCTCTTGTGTGAACCATCGCCATCGCGATCTGAGTCTAGGTTTGAATCAATATAATAAACTCTTTTTACGGTAGGCGTGACCAGAACATCAGTGGGAGGTGAACTTCCAGATGCTTGATCAAGAATGCGTTTCGACATCCTCTTTAGCACTTGAAATTCAGTATCAGTTTTCATTATCATTGCAGTCAAAGATTTAATCTTATCGTACAACTCAGTGAACGTCGTCTCCATGGCTCGAAAGGTAGTCGATATGGATCCAACAACTTTCTTAGTATCATGGCTCGACATGCTAAACAACAACAAAAAAAAAGAACATACATGAAACAAACAAAAGTCAAAGCAGCTTAAGGAGCGAATAAAGAACATACATGAAAGGAAAAGGGTTGTAAGAAAGGAACAGCACAAACGACCAAAAGAAAGAGCTATTTTAGTTGTTGCACTGTACCGAGATTTCTCCATTGCAATTAGTTTCTCCCCGCCAACACAGAAGAAAAGCCTTACTTTTGCTAAAGTCACCAGGGAAAACGGCAGAAGTTATTTTTACAAGGTAAACTCTAGGCTTGGCGTCCCTTTATATAGACCGCCAAACAAACCTAATTTATTAATACCATTACGTCCAAAAAAAGAATTCCTCTATTGACACCTAAACTGATCCAACTAAGGAAAGCAAGCCTATTAACAAGGAGTACAGATTAAATCCCCACCAATGACAAGGCTATTTACAAGCATATTCCTCTATTGCGTTTGGCTCCACCACCGAACGAGGGAGGCCATCTCCACTGGCTATAAAGAACACCTGAAGAATGAGAATCAATTTATCAGTAGCCAACCTAGTACTGTTTCTTTTTTGACCAAAAAAAAATTCGGCCATCACTATTTATGAACCGAAGACAAACGTAATTACACATATCACATATGCATTGGAGAGAGAGAGAGAGAGACAGAGGAAATGATAGACCTTCAAGATATCGAAGTCTTCTTCCATCATAACAACATCTAAATCAGAGAATGCACGAGAGGGGCCTCAGTTAAGCAACACCCAAACATATCCCTACTGTAGCAAGATAATGTGTACAAATTATATACAAGCTTTAATGGAAGGTTTGCGAATTCAAAGTACAAAAGAGAATTTGAAGACCTACCAACGATGCTCGGCAAACGCTTAACAACACCAAGTCTCTGAATTTATCATCAATCAATCGGCATATCTAATCAAGAACCTGAAAATTATATGCAAGTTCAGCTAAGAGAAGCAAGCAAGACAAACAAAGAGGAGGCTCCATGATATGATAGACCGTTAGTTACACATGTTTTCACCCCTGTTCTTACACCGTTTGAGATGTGGTTTCTCGTGTTTTAGACCGATTTCACGCTAGGTTGTGCTTGTTTGGGATATTTCAGGTCCTGGTAAGTGAATGAAGGTTTAGGAGCGAGTTCGGGGTCGATTGGGCGAAGATTGGGCGCGAGGCAAGTCACAAAGGAAGTCGCACGGGCACACCCACAACCCACACAGCCGTGCAAGTGACCAGTTTGGCCGTGTGGGATTGTGCGAGAGCAAACACGAGCAGAGCAAAAAATCCACACGGCCGTGCAAGGTGAGCTGCACGGCCGTGCGACCCTGGCCGTGCAAGAAGCCTGGAATTCAACTAATTGATGCGCTGTGTTTTGACTCGCACGGGCAACTGGGTGAGCCACACGGCCGTGCGGCCTGCCCGTGCGAGTCGGGATTTTCTGCTTTTAAGCAGATTTTCAGCCAAAGAGAAGGGGATTCGAGTTTTAGAGAGACAGAACGATTCCTAGAGAGAGAAAGCGACGAACAAGAGTCTCCAAGTGCCTTAGCTTGATCTTCATCACCATTGGAGGCCAGTTTGAGCTTGGAGAAGTGCCGATCAACGTCCAGGAGCAGGAATCCATCCTTCACAGTATGAATTTCGCGTCTGATTCTGCTTTTGATTCTTTCTCTATGGAGTAGTTCTCCCATTCATCTGGGTATGGAGAACCCTAGATGTGTATGTTAGGCTTTGATTGTATGAACCCAAGTACTGATTCTATGATTTGATTATATTCAATTGAGGTTTGATTGATTGAATGGCATGAATCCTGATCAAATTCCTGTTGTTTCTGCTTTAACCTAGAATGAGAATATCTGCCTAGGTTGATAGAGCATCCTTGATTGAAGGTAGGGAGTTGGTGACTTTAGTCGAGAAGCCAACTCACTATTCTGTACCGGATTTACTTCGGTAGTGGAGGTTTTGTTCATAGGGCCTCAATCTGTTTACTCCGGTGGAGGTTAGTCGCCCGCTAGAGACTCAGATTGAGAGGGTCTGAAGACCTTTAGTCAAGACTTCAGGCTGTTTAAGAACCTTCCGCAATATAACTATCATAGAAAATGAACTTGGTAATTACAATCCGGCTTAACTGCAGTCTAGGGGGAACCATATCCGGGTGACCTCTCTTAACCTGAATACAACAGTTTAGTTGCTTTGTTAGTTTGTTAGTTTAAACCTGCATTAAAGTTTCATTGCTAGATAACAAGAATTCACCGAGTAGTCATCAAATCTAGGACCCGGGTTGATAATTAAACCCAAACTCGCTATACTACGCTTTAGGAAGTGGTTACACTTGGCCAATTCCTGGAGTGACAGTAGAAGTGAGTCAAGTTTTTGGCGTCGTTGCCGGGGACGGCTAGGTTGTTGAAGAAAAGTGATTTCTGTTAATTTAGCTTTTCTTTTTGCTTTGTTTGCTTTGTCCCACTTGTGCCTTCACGGGTTTGCTTGCTTGAGTGTGTGCAGGTAGTGCATGAACCGTAGCCAGTCAGGAGGTTTATTGCCGTTGAATCCAGAGATTGACCGCACCTGTCGCCAGCTCAGGAGACAACAGTGAGCTAGACTGGCTACGGAAGAGCGCATAGACGGCCACCTGAGTAGCGATTCTAAAGAAGAGTACGGGATGGACGGAGACTACAATCAGCACCAGGGGAATCCTCAGCAGGTTCCCCCGGTGAGTCAGGTCCTGGGGAACAACCCCATAGCCCAGGATCATGGGGTTCATCATCATCACCCGCCGCCGGGTCCCACCTTGGAGTACTACTACACTCCACGGATTGCTGACATCCGTCCGGTCATCCTCTACCCGCCTATTCCAGCAAACAACTTCGAGATCAAGCCATGCTGGATTCAGCTCATTACTTCCTCTATCCAGTTCCATGGCTTGAAGGATGAGGAGGCCAGGGTGCATCTTTCCCGTTTTCTGCAGCTGACGAACGGGTTCAAGCTGAATGGTGTCCCTGATGATGCAATCCGCCTTCATCTCTTCCCCCATTCTCTGGCGGGGAATGCTAAGAGGTGGTTGGAGACCCACCCCCCATTGTCCATCACCTCTTGGGACGATCTGGCTGACAAATTCGTGCACAGGTACTATCCGGCATCGAAGACTACAGAGATCCAGCGGGAGATCACTCACTTCCGCCAAGAGCCAGATGAGTCACTTCGTGATGCATGGGAGCGGTACATGGGATATTTCTGGCAGTGTCCCCATCATGGCTTTAGTGATGCATTCACAGTGGGGAACTTCTACAGTGCTCTCTCTCCAGACACCCAGAGGGTGATTGAGTCTCTATGCCCAGGAGGGGATATTCTTACTAAGACTCCACCCGAGCTGAACCAGATGATCAATACCTTGGCTGCCAGAGATCATTCTTGGGGACAGGGCAGCAGAGGCAGACATTCCCGGGACCGTGGTGTGCACGCCATGGAGACCAGATCCGGGCTCGAGCAGCAGGTAGCTGAGCTAGTGCAGACATTGAAGCAGCCCAACAGTCTTATTTCGGGCAGAGGTTTGGCTACACCTCCAGTAGCTCAATGTCAGTGGTGCGAGAGCTCCAATCACCTAGTGGAGGACTGCCAGGCTATGAGGGAGTCTACCACTCCCCAAGAGCAGTTGGCCTTTATCGCCAATGCGCGGCGCCTCGATCCATACAGTAACACATATAATGAGGGGTGGCGCCAGCATCCCAACTTCGCCTGGAGCAGCAACACCACTAAACCACCTGGTTTCCCAGCACCAGCAGGTGGTTTTCAGCAGAGGCATCCCTTCCAGGCTCGACAGGGGCCAGCCCCACAGCAGCAGCCCTACCAGCCTAGGCAGGGGCAACCATTCCAATAGCCCCAGCGTCAGTTTGTCGAGCCAGCAGCAGCCCCTGCCCCAGATGACCGGATGACAAAGCTGGAAAATATTCTAGCTTCATTCATGACTAGCACTCAGGCTGCTATCACGTCAGTGGAGGCAGGTCAGCGGAACTAGGGTGCCATTTTGCAAGATCTGCAGACCCAGGTGGGCATCTTGGCCCGCCAAAACACTACCAGGGCACCGGGGACTCTGCCTGCCACCACTATCCCGAATCCTCGGGATCCTCACCAGCTCCAGCAGCTGGATGCCATTTTTACCAGGAGCGGTAAGACCATATCTGCTGATCCTGTCCCGGCCAGACAGGAGGAACCACTACCTGTTCTTACACCGTTTGAGATGATAGACCGTTAGTTAGTTACACATGTTTTCACCCCTGTTCTTACACCGTTTGAGATGTGGTTTCTCGTGTTTTAGACCGATTTCACGCTAGGTTGTGCTTGTTTGGGATATTTCAGGTCTTGGTAAGTGAATGAAGGTTTAGGAGCGAGTTCGGGGTCGATTGGGCGAAGATCGGGCGCGAGGCAAGTCACAAAGGAAGTCGCACGGGCACACCCACAACCCACACGGCCGTGCAAGTGACCAGTTTGGCCGTGTGGGATTGTGCGAGAGCAAACACGGGCAGAGCAGAAAATCCACACGGCCGTGCAAGGTGAGCTGCACGGCCGTGCGACCCTGGCCGTGCAAGAAGCCTGGAATTCAACTAATTGATGCGCTGCGTTTTGACTCGCACGGGCAACTGGGTGAGCCACACGGTCGTGCGGCCTGCCCGTGCGAGTCGGGATTTTCTGCTTTTAAGCAGATTTTCAGCCAAAGAGAAGGGGATTCGAGTTTTAGAGAGACAGAACGATTCCTAGAGAGAGAAAGCGACGAACAAGAGTCTCCAAGTGCCCTAGCTTGATCTTCATCACCATTGGAGGCCAGTTTGAGCTTGGGGAAGTGCCGATCAACGTCCAGGAGCAGGAATCCATCCTTCACAGTATGAATTCCGCGTCTGATTTTGCTTTTGCTTCTTTCTCTATGGAGTAGTTCTCCCATTCATCTGGGTATGGAGAACCCTAGATTTGTATGTTAGGCTTTGATTGTATGAACCCAAGTACTGATTCTATGATTTGATTATATTCAATTGAGGTTTGATTGATTGAATGGCATGAATCCTGATCAAATTCCTGTTGTTTCTGCTTTAACCTAGAATGAGAATATCTGCCTAGGTTTATAGAGCATCCTTGATTGAAGGTAGGGAGTTGGTGACTTTAGTCGAGAAGCCAACTCACTATTCTGTACCGGATTTACTTCGGTAGTGGAGGTTTTGTTCATAGGGCCTCAATCTGTTTACTCCGGTGGAGGTTAGTCGCCCGCTAGAGACTCAGATTGAGAGGGTCTGAAGACCTTTAGTCAAGACTTCAGGCTGTTTAAGAACCTTCCACAGTATAACTATCATAGAAAATGAACTTGGTAATTACAATCCGGCTTAACTGCAGTCTAGGGGGAACCATATCTGGGTGACCTCTCTTAACCTGAATACAACAGTTTAGTTGCTTTGTTAGTTTGTTAGTTTAAACCTGCATTAAAGTTTCATTGCTAGATAACAAGAATTCACCGAGTAGTCATCAAATCTAGGACCCGGGTTGATAATTAAACCCAAACTCGCTATACTACGCTTTAGGAAGTGGTTACACTTGGCCAATTCCTGGAGTGACAGTAGAAGTGAGTCACTCCACTGAAGGAAATTTCCCAAGCGAGAAGATCCAACATCACCTATTGGGCCTGGTACAAAAGGCCTGCTTAGTTTAGTTTTATGTTTTAATTTTACAAGAACTAATTTTTAAGTTATAAATAAAACAGTGGAAGTATATTGAATCAAAATCCTTGTTCAGCATGAATGGTGAAGAATGCCCATGGTAATGACCAGGACGCTGGTTCGAACCTCACTCCATTACAAAAAATAATTTGTTTTCAGCTACACATATAGAACGACGCCGTTCTCCATGCCACTTTCGATTCAGAGACGAGCACAAAACGATGTCGTTTTTTCATGTATCGTCGTCTTCCCTAGCCCCCCAAATTCCCAATTATCCAGTTGCCGCCGTCACCACCGTAATCCGACAGCCGTCTCTCTTCATCGTCCAAATTTTCTCACTCCGTTACGATTATGGACTCCGACCAAGAGAATTCCCTTGACGAGACCCAATCCCCTCTCTCCATTTCAGCCTTAGTCATTGTTTACAGGACGTAAAGGTCATAGTCGTTCACCGTCAATTGACGGCAGCGTACGGCATCGTACCTACCCACCGCTATCGGCGATCCGCACTTCGGCCCACCTCTCGAGTCTACACTCTTCACTTCTCCGATCCTTCCTCATCCGCCTCTCGAGCACAAGATTCAATACATCATGCCTCGAACAGATCACTCTCTTAATCCATAGAGGGATTAAACATCGATGCGAAGCGCAAAATCCAATTGCTTCAATCGATAGCCAGGATGAGAGGAGAGGGTTCGTTAGCCACTGCAGACAGCAATTGGAAAGGGGGTTTGAGCGTTGACATGAGTGGGAAAAGGAATAAATCACCAAACTAAAATTGTAAGTAAATATAACTTAATGGATTGGAGACATGATTAGAATAAAATTTGGTACTATAATTCTAAAATATGTTGAAAAGTTTGTTTAGGGGTTAAAGGGTACGCATAAAAAAGTAATAGGACCAACTAATCATTTAAAAATTGTAAAAATTAAATAATTTAATTCCAATTATTAAACACCGTTAGATTAGATCTACGGTGTAGAAATCCTGTCGCATAGTATGTGTCTGACGCATACGAGTGTGACCCATATATATGGGGCCTTCTACGATACCCCGGGTGAAATTCGGGGTACCGCATACCTTGAGTATGAAAACTCTATCTAGACCTCGAATTAGCAGGATTTTTGGGCATGATACTATACCCTAACCCTTAATGAGTGAACCCTAGGTCCTAATTATCTAAATCATAAACTATAAACTCTAAGATGGTGCACTGATTTTTTTGCCTATATTTGGACGAATCATAACCATTGATTATTGTTTCTAATTAAATTGATCTTGGTATATAAGATTTGGAGAAGTAAGACCTAGATTTTGATCTTTAAGGGTTAGAGTATAGTATCATGTCCGAAAGATCAGTCAATTCAAGTTCAGGATAGTGTTTTCTTACTCAAGGTATGCGGTACCACGGATTTCACCCTGGGTACCGTAGAACTCCCCATATATATATATATATATATATATATATATATATTTTAAGAATTTGAAAGTTACTTGGACAAAAAGCAATTACATGTTGATTTCGAAAAAATTGTTTATGAAGTCAAATAATTTATCAAATACGTGACAATACTAGCTTATTCGGGTACATAAAATATATTGTGAAGATAACTTTGTGAAAACTATTACTCAATTCAATAAAATTCTTGCTAAGGCAACTAATGTTATGTTCATTTTGGCCATTTCATTCCTATGTCTCTGGATATCAGGGTACGTAAACATTTCTTATTTTATTTGTGTATTACTTGAGATGTTAATGTCGGTGATTGGCCAACTTTGAGGGTGAAAATTTATTCGCTTAAATTGAAGCTACCTTAATGTTATGGTCTAATCTTGATATTCCTGAAGTGATTGAGTTTCACTTAAGGTAACATTCTTACGATATTGGAAAATCGTTCTTATTAAGTTGAAATTAAAAAATACATATGAAATTAGTTTATTTTCTTTTTTATGATAAAAAATGAGATCAACCTCCTTTGGTTGCTGGAGAAACGACTATCCAATATCCCTACTATTACATTACAAGAACTTAATGAGTTGGAGTGGAAGTATGGGAACAAGGTAAAAGTCAGCTTGAATTGAATGATTGATTAAGATACAAATCCAAATTATTTTCTTTAGACTAAATTGTATTTTATCCAATTCTAAGTTGCCAAATTTAAAAATAGCGATGAAGATTCTTGATGATAAAAAAGGCGATACCGGTTATTTTGGAGTACACATAAAATTGTGTTGTTAAGTTTGATATGAGTTAATATACCTTTGCATAAGTTCTAGCTTTTGAATTTCAACCAGAATCTTTATAGAAGGCAAATGTTAGTAATGTTTATGATGAATGCTAATTTTAAGCAATTGAATATTTTGACTTTCTTAATGGTAAAAATTAGAAAATTACCTTGCTAGCTATTTTATAAAATTGATACTATTGTTTGTTAATTTGCACAACATTGACATATAATCCTGGCAAGAATATAAGAGAAGAGGATATCACTAAAATTTAAATTTTGAAACTTTGTTAATCATTATTATCATATTGCAAACGACCAACGAACCGAAGTACAATCTAGTATCCACTCTTATATTTCCACATGTCAATTTGTCATTCCTACCAAAAGGCTAGCTATCTATACACCACGTGTGAATACCGGTGATGGCGAAAATTAGTATGATATTCTAATTTTTTAGGTGGGACATGGGAGTATGGTACTCCAATAATTGTTTTTGGCATGTGTTGTCCCTTCATTAAATTTGTTAGTTGAGGAGGTCCCCAAAACTTCAATTCATGACTACAAGGACCATCAAGTTGTACAACTAGTACTACTAATTACAAGTTTACAACCACAATGTTAGGTGCTGCTTAACAAAATGCCTTATATGCTATTTAGTTTGAGCTTTTGAATAATTTTTCATTTAAACGCTAAGAGATAAAGTTGATGATGAAGGACAAAGCAACTATGTTATTAGTGATCGGTTGATAATCATGATTCATGAAATTAGTTTGCTATGATCTAAATTAGTAAGAATCAGATTAGACTTTGAACCAATTTTTTCGGTCATTACAATATGTATCTGACAATCTCAAACTTAATATAAAATGTAAGATGCAACTTGAGATGAGTTTATCGACATCATCGGATTACCTAGAACAAAGATTATTTCTTTGCCTGTCTTTCTCCATCTTTAGGAAATTAATAAAATACATAGAATTTGCATCGTGTCATAGATATTAACATAACTAAGTCACATACACTCATTTAGACCCTAATTTTCTTCTCATTCTCTTTCACCATGGCCATCCAATCCAAGCAATGATTAAGAAATTCTATCGTACCCGTCGGTTAGACCTAAAATACCGGATATCGAGCCAAAAATTGTGGGAGATTTTAGTGGTAAAAAATGGTTGAACCAAATTTTAATACAAATAAATGAATAATTTTTCCGATTGCCTAGTAGGCCGCCCGCCCTACCTAAACCAATCATCATATCGGTCTCTAGAAAAAGTAGGGACACCGTGCGTCCTTGAATCGATAACCATCTTTCGGCTAACCTAGCCTCCTCCGTCCCTCAGGACCAATAAGGGGGTAGTACATGCAGAGTTTCCTTAAATCCAAGATCCGCAAAGAATCCGGGAAAAAAGGGTTCGTCGACAAGTGGATTCCGATTCCTTCTCTGGTCCACTTGCTTCACTAACTTACCCACGCGGGGGATTAGGGGAAAAAATCCCACTGTACACACGTTCTTAATAAAAATTCCCAAAATACATGAGTTATAAAAAAATTTCCCAAAGTACACATGTTTGAGCATCACCGTTTTAGACAAAGGCGGTGAAGGTCATCACCGCATTTGACGAACACGGTGAAGGGTTCACCGCGTTTGTTAAGAACGGTGAACGCCTCACCGTTTTGGTCAAAAACGGTGATCATTTCCCACGTTTCCCACCCCTGGTAGGTCAAAATTAGGTCGCAGCTACCACCTATTCACCGTTTGAGACTAACGCGGTGATGGTGTTCACCATTTTTGACAAAAACGGTGAATAGTAGGCAGATTTTCCTATAAATAGCACACCAGCAGCAGTTGTAAAAACATAACCACTCCCCTTTCTTCAAATTTCAGCAGCCAAAATCGAGCATAATACACAGAACAGAAATTTTTCGGTATGTTGAGACTTTTCGTATTATAGTCTAATTATGTTTTTAGTAGTTATAGTATGATTTAATTTTCGTATTATGTTGTTGTTAGTTAGTTGAACTTATGTTCGTTAGTTATAGTATGATTTAATTTTCGTATTATGTTGTTGTTAGTTAGTTGAATTTATTTTCGTTAGTTATGGTATGATTTAATATTAGTTGTACAATATGATTTTGGTTAATTTTACTGTCTTTAAGCTAATAGATACTTATTGTAAATTGTAGATATGGGTAAATTCAAGAAGTTTCATCTTACTATTCGGTGGAATGGAAGGGTGACAAACTCTGACATAGGCATTGATTATGAGGACGGCGAATCCATTATGCTGAAAATTGAATCCCGATTCAATTTTCAAAAACTCTGTGATCTTTGTGCAGAAAGGGTTTGTACGAGCGGACAGACGAGACTTGGCAAAATTACTTACCGGTATCCAGACATGAGTGCTGGCGGGGTCGTGTTCCAAGAAGTTGTCATAAACGATGATGACGCGGTTATGATGATGTTACAGTTCCTAAGCGATAACCAAGTCCGGCTTGCAGAGGTGTATGTT